ACAGTAGTTCAAAATCTTCTCACTAGGTAGTGCTCGTACACATGTTAAGTTCTCGTATGTGATACATCACTGGATCCTGACGAAATAAAGAATAAATGTCTTTGGCAAAGTTTTTCAGGAAGTCAAGATCTTTTCGTTGGTGGACAGTTGTTCAGAATTTTCTCCCTACTCTGTGCTAGAATACACATGCACTTCTTGCATATACAATAGCTCGAGATCCTGAGCAGATAGAAAGTTTCTGTTCTCGGCAAACTTGTTCAGGGGGTCAAGACTTTTTGGCTAGTTGACAGTAGCCTAGAAATTTTTCCCCAAATTGCGCTAGTAAACGTGAACAATTCTCGCGTATGCTAAGCTCGAGATTCTGAACAGGTAGAAAATTACTGTCTTCGAAAAAGTTGTTCAAGATGTCAATGCCTATTGCTTGGTGCACAATAGTTCAGAAGTTTCACACTACGTGGCGCTAGTATACACGCGAAATTCTCGCATGTAAAATATCTCGAGATTCTGATCAGATAGATCTCTCTAAATTTTCTCACTACGTAGCGCTAGAATACACGTGAAATTCTAGCATGTGATTTGTTTCGAGATCCTGACCAGATAGAAAGTTACTGTCTACAACAAAGTTATTCAGGAGGTCAAAGTCTTTTGGCTGGTGAACAATAGTTTAGAATTTTCTCATAAACTCTAGGCTTTAAACTCCTGAACAACTTTGTTCAAGACAGTAACTTTCTATCTGGTCAGGATCTAGAGATATTTTATATGCAAGAGTTTCACATCTATAGTAGCGCCGCAAAGTGAGAAAACTCTGAACTACTGTCCACCTGTGAAAAAGCCTCGACATCCTGAACAACTATGCCGAAGACAGTACCTTTTAATCTGGTTGGGAACTCGAGATATTTTACATGAGAATTTCACGTGTATACTAGCGTCGCGTAGTGAGCAAATTCTGAACTATTGAGCACCAAGCAATAGGCTTTGATCTCCTGAAAAACTTTGTGAAAGACAATAACTTTTTATCTGGTCAGGATCTCGAGATATATCACATACGAGAATTTCACATGTATACTAGCGCTACGTAGTGAGAAAATTCTGAACTACTGTCCGCCATCGACAAGGCTATGATCTCCTGAACAACTTTGTCAGAGACAGTAACTTTCTATCTTGTCAGAATCTTGATATATTCCATGTTGTAATCAATTAAGTCAAATCCCACGTAGTATGGTCACAGTTTTCGCGGTTTCTATTTACATTTTCCCTATTATCCGCATTTTTTAGGTGTTTACTGTAATCAAAGTTTAGCTTGTTTAGATCAAAACAAATTTTTTGAGGAATACTCGTTGGTTTCAGATCGATTGGTAACTTAGCAACAAAATGGCAATGGAAAACTCATGTGTGTTGTACAAAGTACAACAGCGCGAGTAACGGAGGGTTAAAGGCCCTTTGGTACATTTTTTTTACGGATCTTCAAAAATTTTGTTCGGTTGCCATTCCTCCCCCCTGAAACATGACGTTATTAGTGACCGGACCATCATGGGATTCAGTTTTTGTATATTGTTGTGGCACATGATATGTTTGATTCCTTTCAGGTCAATGTTAATCCAAAACCCCTTAACGCCGGATTTTGTAACAAAGGCACACAAACACTTAAATATAGTCATTTCCCGATCTTGTCAGACTGAGTCGAACGATGTATGTTACTCGTCCTCGGATCAAAAGTCGGTTTTCCAAGTGGTTTATGAAAAATAATTTGCAAGATAAGTAAAAAAAAATATGACTCCGGATAATCGAGCCATTTTCTCCGGATAATCGAGCCCCGGATAATCGAGCCTCCGGTTAATCGAGCCTCCGGATAATCGAGTCCGGCCTTACTAATGAATTGACTATAGGATACACAGAACTTGTTCATAAAAAAATTACATTTGCAAAAAAATCCATGGTTGTAAAATATGCTTAAAAAATACTATAAAAAAATGCCCAAACTAAAATTGCCCCGTTTTACGGTACCCATGTTTTTGGGCAATACATGCAAAAACCAAGATACCCAAAAACTCTGCTTGTTCTATGGGAAAGAACCCATCTCTTCAAAAAGTGAACATAAAAATAATGGAAGTTGTTTATAGGTTATTTTCGATGCAAGCTTTGACTAAAATTAGGTACCTCATGTTAAGCGTGCACATGCAAAAACTGGAGCTAAGACGTCTACGAGCGGTTTTGAAAAAACCGTGGAGTTCTAGGATCAATTTAATAAATTGACCACTTTTACGGATGTTTCGGATGTTCCGGTGGACCTTCTCGTAGTCCGCGGAGTGTATATTCCAGTAACAACTCCAAATTCATTCTGATAAGACGTCTACGAGCGGTTTTGAAAAAAACCGTGGAGTTCTAGGATCAATTTAATGAATTGACCACTTTTTCGGATGTTCCGGATCCTCCGGAGGGCCATCCCGTAGTCCTCGGAGTGTATATTCCAGTAAAAACTCTAAATTCATTCTGATAAGACGTCTACGAGAGGTTTCGAAAAAACCACGGAGCTCTAGGATCAGTTTCATGAATTGACCACTTTTACGGATGCTCCGGATCTTTCGGAGGACCATCCCGTAGTCCGTAGAGTCTATATTCTGGTCACAACTTCAAATTCATTCTGATAAGACGTCTAAGAGAGGTTTCGAAAAAACCACGGAGCTCTAGGATAAATTGCATGAATTGACCACTTTTACGGATGTTTCGGATCTTCCGGTGGACCATCCCGTGGTCTCCAGTGTCCATATTCCACTCACAATTTCAAATTCATTCTGATAAGACGTCTAGGAGGGATTTCGAAAAATCTGCTGAGCTCTAGGACCAGATTCATGAATTGACCACTTTTACGGATGTTCCGGATCTTCCGGTGAACCATGCCGTGGTCTCCAGTATCCATATTCCAGTCACAATTTCGAATTCATTCTGATAAGATGTCTAGGAGTGGTTTCGAAAAATCCGCTGAGCTCTAGGATCAGATTCATGAATTGACCACTTTTACGGATGTTCCGGATCTTCCGGTAGACCATCCCGTGGTCTCCAGTGTCCATATTCCACTCACAATTTCAAATTCATTCTGATAACATGTCTAATACTTATTTCGAAAAATCAACTGAGCTCTAGGATCAGATTCATGAATTGACCACTTTTACGGATGTTCCGGATCTTCCGGTGGACCATCCCGTGGTCTCCAGTGTCCATATTCAAGTCACAACTCCGAATTCATTGTGATAAGATGTCTAGGAGTGGTTTCGAAAAAACCGCGGAGCTCTAGGACCAGATTCATGAATTGACCACTTTTACGGATGCTCCGGATCTTTCGGAGGACCATCCCGTAGTCCGTAGAGTCTATATTCTGGTCACAACTTCAAATTCATTCTGATAAGACGTCTAAGAGAGGTTTCGAAAAATCCGCTGAGCTCTAGGATCAGATTCATGAATTGACCACTTTTACGGATGTTCCGGATCTTCCGGTGGACCATCCCGTGGTCCCCTGGGTCCATATTCCACTCACAATTTCAAATTCATTCTGATAAGACGTCTAGGAGGGATTTCGAAAAACCTGCTGAGCTCTAGGACCAGATTCATGAATTGACCACTTTTACGGATGTTCCGGATCTTCCGGTGGACCATCCCGTGGTCTCCAGTGTCCATATTCCACTCACAATTTCAAATTCATTCTGATAAGTTGTCTAGGAGTGGTTTCGAAAAAACCGCGGAGCTCTAGGATCAGATTCATGAATTGACCACTTTTACGGATGTTCCGGATCTTCCGGTGGACCATCCCGTGGTCCTCTGGGTTCATATTCAGGTCACAACTCCGAATTCATTCTGATAAGACGTCTATGAGCGGTTTCGAAAAAACCGCGGAGCTCTAGGATTAGTTTCATGAATTGACCACTTTTACGGATGTTCCGGGTCTTCCGGAGGATCAGGCTCTTGACGTTCCGGATGCTAAATGTTCCCAAAAGGTGGCAAATATTCTGTTTAATAACTGTTCAGAAGACACCAGGAAGTTATCTCTTCAAATTACCCTACAATAAGAGTTTGTCCCCAATTAGCTCTAATCCCATATGCTACGTGTATTCGTTAATGCCGGTTCCTATAGTGCGGTCCCTATTAACCGTACTATAGGAATCTTGACTGTAGTAATTGTCTTAAATGCGAGTATCGATCAATAGAGATGTTTAAATGTATGTATCGAAATCAAAGAAATTTCAAGGTAAAGAATCGATATCGACATAAATCTTTATTTTTGTATAAACAACTTTAAAGAAGTTTCACGAATGGTTGGTCGGGTACGCTTGTTGTAATGGGCTCGATCCAACCTGGCGTGTGTTGAAATCCTATCAACGATCGTGCGTCTCCACCGCTAGGGGACCGTAACATACATTATTCAATATAACGGTATTCAATATAACGGCACGGCAAATAAGTTTCAGATCATCATTCCGTTTAGTTGGAGAAAGGCCAGTTAATCGTAGTTTGAGCAGACACCAGTGTCACTTAAATCGAAAATAAAACTAATTAGCTTAAACCTCAATTAATGTTGTGTGCGGTGGGTGTCAGTTTGGCAACCGAGGATTTCCCACTTCCACACTGTCCCGGGACATGAAACCCATATCGCTAATTATCTGACTCACTTATGGCAAGCATCCAGGCGGGAGCGGAAGAGGCATTTGATATGTTTTTCCTGTGAAATTAACCGCCTGACACGCAGCTGGCTTGGGACACCAACAGCAGCAACATGGAGTTTCCGAACACCTGAGTGAAGAAAACATACAACGATTTTCTCGCCATTTTCCATGATTCACCAAGCACTGTCGGCCAGCGAGCTGCGCATGGTTATCCACACGAATAACAAATTTGTACATTTTTTTTAACTCGTGTTTGTGCCATATTCCACCCACTCAGCAAAGTTTGGCCGTTTGTTGGCCAGTCCGGTTTAATCATTCGTTCGGTCTATTCACATCGCGCGCGTGCTGCGAGAAACTCTGTCTTGTGGTGATCCAGCCAGTGCTTCAGATCGGTCGGTTGATCAGTGGGCGGAAGAAATTTTGGAAAATGGCACAGTTCGAGGAAAATTGTGAGATTTCGGAATCGGACGAATTGGGGCGGTAAGGTTAATGTTTGTGATTTATGGCTATCATAGTGTTGAAGGTGCATCGTTTGAGCATGGGACAAAGTGCTCCATTTATTGCGTTTCTTCCCGTTTAAAGTCAGTCAGTCAGGCAGTCAATCAGGCTCGTCAAAGTGGTTTGACATCCCCCATGACGATGACCTAGTTGTGCGTTGTGTGTTCTGTTCCGTTGTTTCAGCAATTGTGATGGACAATTTGTTTATCTTTGGCTGGTTTAGATACTTGGTGGCGAAGCGGGATTTGCCTCGTGGACAGCAAATACTGGTGGAGCAGCCGATTGTGATTGGACCGTATTGGGACTCGGAGATATGCTGTTTGAACTGCTTCAGGAATTCGTGCACCATTTGCAGGTTAGTTATTGAATGGCGCACAGTGGTGTATACTGTCCATAATCACACATCAGTCCCATATGGATTTTCGCCAATTTTGAGATAACAACGGTATTCACTATCAATCGGCATCTATTTTCATATTATGTGAAAACAACATCAGCTCAGTTTGTCCTATCGTGCAAAGTAATCGCATATCAGTCCCATTCTGAAATCCAATCGTCTAGAGGTCAAGTTACAGTTCTGTTTTTTTTTAATTGCCGTATTTTTCGCTGATTTAACAAAACTTGCAAGCTTCATTGCAACTAATTATAACTTGAAAAAATAGTAATAAATGTTCAATGATTTTTCAAATATTTACATGGGAATTGTACTTCGTAACTTCAACTGCCATTTTCTCAATGCCTACTGTTTTCCATATGGGACTTATAGTGATTATAGGCAGTATCTGGAACGGGACTGGGTAGCGATTTCGAGCCAATTTGCTGTCAAATCCGAGCCAGTTGCTGATTGGTTGATTTGACAGTTGCAATCGTGGAATAAAAAGGACAGAGGGATCACATCAATCTGACTGATAGTGTTGCCGGAATCAATGTTGACCTCAATGGCATTGTTAATTGTTTATATTTGCGAAAGTAAAGTTGGAAAATAGGGTCCACGGCGTGCTTAAGGAGATGGATATTCTTGTTTGTTTATGGTTGTTTTTATTGTGTTAAGCTAAAATGATGTACAAGGTGCTAAACTGCTGTAGAAGCTCCGAATTAAATTAAAATTAAAATAGAAAAATCATTCTGCAATCCTAGCCCAGGGTTCTACATTTTCGAAACAAAGAAAAGAAAATGAACACTCCGCAGAATCGCTTCATTTCGAACAATATCATTTTTGTGTAAGTCATTGTGTTTCTTGTTATCGAGTCACGATGAACATTCCTCCTGTCAAACATGACTTGACTATCGCTTGTTTCATTCGTCAAGTGCATCAGTTCATTTCATTTCAAGCAAAGACTTTTTTTTTCAATTGACGCAATGAATGACTCAAAAACTACTTCCTTCGTTTTTTCCACTTTCACTTCAATTCGGGGCTCATTCGACGTGTCAGGTATGTTATTTTATATTAAACAAAAATTAAATTAACGAAATTAAATTAAGTCCGGAAAAGTCTCAAATGCCCTACAATGTCGGAATGCAGGCGACGCTAACGTGCCGAAAATCGATGTCCGTCGCCATTTTGGAATCCAATGTGGCGGACATTGGGCTCAAAAAAAGTGTCAAATACCCTAAGATATGGGTATTTTTGGAACGTGGACGACGCGTAGATGCCGTAAATTTACATTCGATGCCATGAAGTAATGAAATTGGGTTGTTAGCGGAATGCTAAATAAAACAGCAAAAAAGGTTATCTTCCAAAGGTTGCTGATCTCACTTTTGCTGAAGTAGTGCTACAGTAGAGCGGCTCTCTTCTCGTGCACGAGAATATATCTCCCACGAATGATGTTAAATAATTCGGTTTTGCGCTTCTTTTACATTCTCCGGTCGTTCGCTGAGTTACGGCTTTAGGCAAAACAACAATCGTCACTCATCCGATTGTTCGTTACTGAACGAGTATAGCGTGGTCTATTCAATTCGATTGCCTTTCGTTTCTGGGTAATCTTCACAAAGAATGCAAGATTCCACTCGCCACGAGCGTTCACGGCGATGCAATGTACTGAACTGGACGCTTGAGTGGTAGCTTGACGCTGCGCTGGAGTGAATAATTTTTATCATTCAGCAATCGCACTACTGTGGGTACAGATCAGGTGTATTGGCGTTGACGAGGACTTTATAGCTCTTTAAGCTGGGTTTAGACAGGGCAAGTCAATTGATCAAGTCAGTTGAATTCATCTGACTTGAACGCGAATTGAACGTGTAAACCATGCCATTCAACTGACTTGATCAACTCACTTGAATTGAAAAAAGTTTAACGAGGCTCAACTTTTCAAGCTAATTTAATTCAACTGAGATGATCATTTGACTTGCCTAGTCTAAACCCAGCTTAACTCCAATGGTAAAATCCATAGGCAAACGTCAGACTGTGCGTGAACCATGGCGGACTTCGCACTTTCCTTTCATTCCACTGAAAATTCCCATAAGAAAGTGTCAATATTTGCTAGAAGAAACGATTTTTCGGCAGTGCCGTCAACGCCAATGCGCGAGAACGTAACTTTGAGTTAGGAAAAATATGTCTTTAGCCTTTACTGCTACAGTTCCGGATTCAAAACATTGGGTGCCGTTGACCAACATCTATAACGCGTTTGGCACAATTAAATATGTGGTTGCAATGTGTAGTATTGAATGAAAGGTATTGGTTCATTGCCTAAATTGGTAACCGCGTGACACTAAACAGTCGGTAACGCCACTGAATGTAAAACGAAGATCTATTCAATTTCAAGCAATCTAAAGGCAGTATGTGAAACACATTTTGATGTGTTTAATTAAGAAAAAACGTAAGCATAATCGCATGTGGTCGGAAGTATATAAGAGATCTTTCAACGAACTCACTATGGCACACACTGCACTGTATTACTACACGGGGTATTAGTTGGAATAACTTTAAAAAAAAATCAGCGTTAGGAATTAACCTGGTCGACTCACCACCAATAGGAACACTTGCCGTGTAAGCTGGGCTGAAATGTATCTGAATTTTGTACTTACAGATAGAGGTTATAGTTTTGTGTACGAAAATTAATTTCAAAAATTCTGGGTGGTTAATTTTCCCGAAAGTTTTAGTTGAAGTTTCCGGACATCAGGTACATTGAAAATACATAACACTCATGATCCATCTCAAATTCATCATCGTAGAATTAATGTTATTTTAAAATATAGAGAAGTTATCTCAGCAAGCCATAAAAAAAGGAAAATCCATAGTCAGGTTCATGCAAATTTGTCAAATCTATACAGAGCTGGAAAAAGGGCCTATCTACTTTGATCGATTATCTTCATCGACTTTCTCTTTCGTAAATAACTCAATTGCAACAACATTTCCTGTTGTATTTGACGATATGGACGATATATAAAAACCTCCTTTGTCATGCTATGTGGCAAAAATAGCACGAAAACTGTTTGCATAGCCGTGGTTATCAAAAGACAAAGTCGATGAAGATAATCGATCAAAGCAGATAGGGCTTTTTTCCAGCTCTGTATAGAAATGATTTTTGTCATGGAAGAAAACTTCTTATCTTTCAATGGTGAAGATTTCAGAGTGGTGTTTTTTACTGGTTATTAGTTTTTCGGTAATTATTCAAAAATTTCATCAACTTTTAGGCAAATTACCTTCTGCCAAAATTTTGCCACAATTTGCCGCATTATTTCAGCGCCTCTGTGGATTAACGGAGGCAGAGTATTCCGGGAGATTTTGAGACCGCACGCCTTCCACAGGGGGTCCAAAAGCAAATTGTCACCTTTCCATTCTGGATACCTTATGGGAAGGTTGTGTTCCGTTACCATTTGCAACGTACCCAGGAGCACATCACCCCTAGTAGTGTCCGCGTCACTTATCTCCCTTGTTAAATTTCCATGATTCGTCTTGCTCATATCGGCAACTCGTTGCACTCGCCGCGAGTATTAAACTGACTCACGGTGAACGTTCATTGAGGCCTGCACTCTTATCCGATCACACCAGTTCGTAAAGAAAGATGAGAATGGAACGAGAGTGAATGGAAGGCAACACGAATACTCTTCGCACATAGGTCACTCACGAAGCTTCACGTTAATGGCATCGTTCGGTTCGTTCAGGAATGTATGCTTTGCTTTCGTTATTCCAAACGCGTTCGGAGACGGTAAGCGCTATTGAGTCGTACGATGCGAGTATCAACTTCCATTTAATTCCACTTAATTAATTTTGGTATCCATGACAGATACGTATTTCGACTACAATGTGCAGTCTTCATCAGTGTCATTCCCACTAAAGAACTTATCAAAATCTAACCCCCTTAAGTACTCATCCCCTAGGTAAAAAAGTAATTTCGATATATTCGATGCCATTTTGAAATCCAAGATGGCAGCCATCGGTTTCCAGAAAAAGTGTCTAATACTCTAAGATATGTGTGTTTTCGGAACAGGGACGGCGCGTAGATCCCGAAAATCGATATTCGACACCATTTTGAAATCCAAAATGGCGGCTATCGGGTTGCAGAAAAAGTGTAAAATACCCTACTATATATATATATCCGACGCCATTTTGGAATCCATTTGGGTTTCATAAAAAGTTTCAAATATCCTACAATATGGGTATTTATCGAACGGCAACAACGCGTAGATGCTGAAAAACGATATCCAACGCCAATTTGCAATCCAATATGGTGGCCATCAGGTTTCAGAGAAAGTGTCAAATACCCTAAGATCTGGGTATTTTCGGAATGAAGACGACGTGTGGATGCTGAAAATCGATATTCGACACTATTTTGTATTTCATCGGCATCGGACATCGATTTCTGGCCTCTAGATGTCATCCCGATCTAAAAAACCGAACCGGCCCACAGTGGTCCATATTTAAAAAAAAAGTAGAATGGTCTGTACCTAGGGGATGAACGGAAGCTGGACGTAGGACCGCTAGTGGACGGAACAAATGTGAACATTTAGTTCTTTTAATTGATCAATCATCAATTATCTTAACTCTTTCCGTTTTTTATTTGTAAGCGTATCAAATTTGTAGTATTTATTTCAAAGAGAAAGTTGATGAAGAGAATCCAAGGGACATTCAACTTGAGTATTTTCGATTCATCTACCCGACTTTAAAAGGTGTATTTTAAATTTTTTGTTGTTTATGAATTTTTTAAGTTTTGTGCATTTTGGTATTAAAGTGTATTCAATTCACCCCTCACAGGATTTCTTTCTGAATTATATGAATGGGGCGGGGGCGTTTGTGCAGAATATGTAAAAAGGAGGGACTTCGAGAGATTGAACTCGTGAGAGCTAATTTTCTCACAAATTTGATTTTATTGGCTTTCTGGGGACTGAATAAAGGGTGATACGGTCAAAATTTGG